TATTATTTAGATGACGGTTTGATATCAGGTAGAAAACATGAGCTTATTAAAGTATTAGATATAATTTTAGAAAAGTGTTTTTGGTGTAAAGGAAATAACGCATTTAGGACATGTGCGTAATGAAATTAATCCCATTTCTAAGAATAGATAAGATTATGAGCATGAGAGCACCGAGTATTAAGACAGAATTACAAGCTTTTTAGGAGCTAATTATTATCGTTTCATACCGAATTTTGCGGAGATAGCTACACCGTTGTACAAGTAGTTAAAGAAAAATATAAGATTCGAATGGAAAAAAGAACAAAATGCAGGTTTTGAAATACTTAAAATTAAGATGATAGATAAGACCTATTCTGAATTGTTTTAACGAGGATTTCGATAGTATAATTAGCAGTGGATGCATCTAATGAAGGCATAAGAGGAGCTTTGTTATAAATTGATAATGTTGAGACATATATCTTATTTTTATTCAGACGGTTTAATAGCGCTGAAAGAAATTATTTAACAATTGAAAATGAAGCTTTCGCAGTTAAGTTTAAATTAATAAAGTGCAAAGAAAATCTGATTGGAAGGAGTTTTTTATTATACACGGATCACAAGCCGTTAGAGTTTATTAGTTTAAAAAGGATAATAAAGGGTTAATGATTTCATCCCGACTGCAAAAATGGTTATTAGTAGGTAACTTCGATTTTGAAATAAGGTTCAGAGCGGGTAGAGTAAATTATTTAAACTTTGTTAAGGAAATAGAAAATAAAGAAATAGAACCCAGAATTAGTAGTTTAAAGCAGTTTTTCTCAGAAAATGAATCAAATAATAACATTATAAGATCTTTGAAAGTAGATACAAGAGAAAAGCCAATAACTTTTTAGCTAACCGATAGAGTATCCAAGCAAGATGAAGAATTAATGAGAATTAAAGCATGTTTGAAAGGTGATATAGAATGGAAAAGCGAAAATGAATTGTTGAAAAACATTAAAAGTGAATAAAACATAGAAAACAATTGTGTAATGAGAAGATATCGATTAGTTATACCTGATTTATTAGGAAAAAATATTTTAGCAACGTGCATGACGGACATCAAGGCATATAAAAAATGAAGAATAAAGTACGAGAGTATATTTGGTTGCCTAAAACGAATAGCGAGATAGAAGAAGTAGCTAAGAGTTGTGATACATGTAATATGTGATCTAATGTACCAGCAAGAAAAAAGGAAGATAAATTGCCAGACGAACATTCCATACGAAAGGGTACATATATTTTTAGAATATGAGAAGAAAAATACTTTATCATGGTAGATGCAGGTTCAAACTGGATAGATTGTCAGCAAATTTCTGGTTTATCAACAAGAGTAATCTTGGACAAGGTAAAAGATTTTGCAAGAAAATATTGATTAATGAAGATGTTAGTATTAGATGGAGGTCCAGCTTTTAGAACATTTGGTAAATTTTATGAAAGATGGAAGATTCATCATATAGTTTCACCATCACATTACCCAAGAAGCAATGGGCAAGCTGAGCGCTGATAACTATAGTTAAGAGTTGATTAAAAAAAGAAAAATATAAAGAAGGAAAATGGTGGTTATCGTTGTTAGCATATAACAATACTAAGACATCTAAAGGAAAATCTCCAGCTGAGATATTTTTAGGAAGAAAAACGAGATCGAATTAGATTTTCTAAAGGAGGTAACACCAAGAGAGCAAATAAATGTTGAGAATATTCCAATAAAATGTTTTGTTTGGATATTTTGTTTGATGGGCCTATTAAATGGGGGAAGGGTATATTAAGGAAAAATATAGAAAGAAAGTTGAGGTAGAGATTGAAGACCAGCGAGGTACATGGCCGAGACATGTGAAACACATAAGACCGAGAATAGAGAGTAATTTAAATAAGAATTAGAAGTTTTTATTTTGGAATGAAGAAATTGTGGGGCGAAAACAAAATAATAGAATTTGATGTTGTTAATTGAAAAATGAAATTTTGGGATGAAATCAAAATTTGATATTTTTATTGAAAGACGAAATGTTGGGATGAAAGCAAAATAATAAAATTTTATGTTTTTATTGAAAAACGGAAACGAAAGACTATAAGACAGAGGAATAAAAGAAGGGAAGGGTTAACTTATAAGCAATAGTAATTATTTTTTTAGATGGCTACTTATACTCTAGTGGAAAACTATATCGTTCGTATAGAAATACGTCTAATAGATGGAATAAAGATTTCAAAAAACTGGCTAAGGTTAGCATGGGAAGAAGCGACTAGTATATGGAGAAATGTTAAACGATATGAGAATGGAGACTCCACGAAGGTACGACCGAACAGCAAGAGTGGTAACTTGTGACTAGCCTAGACCTGGACATTACTGGGCTAATTTATTTTATTTCATGTGAGCATATGATTTAAATATATATATATATATATATTAAAAAGTAGCAAGACTACAATAATATAAAATTATATATATATATAAATATTATAACTTATATATAAAAAAATATATATGTATATAAATATTCATTAAATATTATGTACGAGTTTATCAATAAATCAGACAAATTTGATATTACAATGCATCTCATGGAATCTGCATTTTTATTATGAATGGCTAATTTTAAAAATTTATTTTAGATTAATATTCAACAAGTTCTGGCATTGTTTTTCCATGGCCAATTTATAGAGCATATCAAAATAAAGAAAACAAATCTCTGATAGTAAAATGTTTGCCATGTCTACCAAAAAATAAGAAATTTCAGTTAGCATTATCTCAACTTGCAACATTGTAAAACATTTAAGGGTATAGATGCTAAATGTTTACATTTAATCTTAAATTTTAAGAGAAAACATCAAACACTGTTAATAAAAAAAACAATTAATACAAAGATTAGTTGATGAATTATCAAGGTCTTCAACTGATTGCAAACAAATAACCTGTAAAAAAAACAATTTAATATCCGATTTTTTTCAATACCATATAGCAGCAGATATGATTGTTAATAGTGATTTAAATTTTGATATTCAACAAATTTTAATTTTTTAAAAAATAAATGTCGAGATTTTAGTAATTTAAAAGAATATCCTGATATAAAATTGTCATTCATAAAATATAACACCACAATCCCTTCAAGCGCCCCGGAATAAAGACTTTTTAGTGTAGCTAAAAATGTCTTTGCAGATAAACGAGGATTCCTTAATGACCAAAATTTTGAAAATATTATATTACTGAAATCAATAATTATTTATAATCATTTAACAATATATTTTATTATTATATTAAAATCTTATAAATCATTATTTTAGTTATATTTTGATAAATTTGATATCGAGTCAATAAATTTTTTAGCTCATTTCATGAATTTTCACAATTTAGGTTTATGCAAACCTTATATAGGTGTATAATAAAAATTGCATCTACATCTAGATGCATTATTAAAATTGTATCTGAATCTATATATATTTTTTAAATTGTATCTGTATCTAGATAACTTTTTAGACGATGTATCTGTATCTAGATCCATTTATAAAGTCTTGTAACAACTCTGCTTATCAATATATTTATTTACCAATATTATTTTTAGAGTATTTGACCGTATTTGACCAGATTAAATACTACTTTGGTCAATTGACCGACTTGCCAACCCTGCCTAGAGGCATACGACTTAAGGTTTCTTGCTCTGGTTCTAAATCTTTTTTAGCTCGGTCAGACCCGGCCCGGGAATTTAAAAAAAAATTTTTAGGCCCGGCCCAGTTATTTTAAAAAAAAAATTTTAGGCCCGGCCCAGTTATTTTAAAAAAAATTTTTAGGCCCGGCCCAGTTATTTTAAAAAAAAATTTCAGGCCAAGTCATGCCCATTGCAGGTCTCTGATATTTATTAGGTTATACTCATCAATGTAAAATAAAATATATAAATATTGATCATTATTTATGTATAGTAAAATCATTGTAATTTTTTTCTAAGTCTTTCCATAGTGAAGAAAGTAAAGAATTACTAATTAATATATTTATGATCAATGTAAATAGAATTTTTTATTATTTGTTTAGTCTTAAAATCATAACAACCCTTATAAAAAAAATCATGTATTTTATTTCATAAGTTTAAAAAAATTTACCTTATACATAAAATATATTTTCATACTTTTAAAATTTTTTAATTAAGAAGTCATTAGGCAAATTTAATAATATCGGCCGATTACCGATATTTCAAAAAAAAGCGAAAATTCGGTCCAATCCGATATGATAAAAATAGAAAAAATAAATTATGTATTTTATTATTTTTTGGCTAGATGTACAATATGTGGACTTTTATCAAATAATGCTCTTTCTGGGACCATTAATATAATTTATATTGAAATTAGTTAAATTTTCTTAATGAAAAAGCAGCGGATAATATATATGTTTTTAAAAGAGGATAAAATAAGCGATTATGCATTTTTAAAGTAAGCAATCATAATCATGGAGCATTTTTGAAGCGTTTGTAATGTTTTAAAATAGTTATCAATTTACTTTAGATAATCAATATCTTAATTTCATCAATAATATAATTTAACAGGTTATCAATAAATTTCTTAAGAAATATATATACAAATACTTTATTTGTTTGAAAATTAATATATAAAAATAAGACTGCCCGAGAATTGATGGTATATAATTATATTAATTAATAAGATAAATTGTCTGTTTATACCATTTTTACAAATTAAAAAAAGTTGCTCTCTTTGTGCCCCCCATTGATTTAGATCGCTATACCATTTGAATATTATATTTACAATTTAAGCTTTGTGATTACCTCTTTAGTATGTAATATCTAAATTTTTTAATACTATATTCAAATTAAAATACAATTCATTGTCATTAATGCTAAGTAATCATCGGTTTTTTATTTATATATTAATTTTCAAACTATTGCGGTAGTTTCCCGATCATTGAGGGAGGCCCAGCTATCCTGAATACTGGTCCAAAATCTAAATCCAGTATATCTCTCAATAATACAAAATATTTTTATTACGCAATCCCCTAATAACATCTCCTTCGGCATCTGAAACAGTCTTCCCACCTTGTTCCGTGATAACTTGAGCTATTTTTCCCTAATGTATATAAAACATAATTTAAATAAATCGTATTATATCATGCAAGAATAATAGCTAAAGATGTGAGAATTATTTATACTATATTTTAAATCAAAGGTTTAGTTTCTTTTTATATCATTAGATAAATGGTTTACCTAAAATGTTTCAAAATTGAGTTAAATAAAAATCATTTAATAAAACTGAAATATGGCCTACGATAGTTAGTTCTTCCGATTGTTTAAACAAATATAATAGAATTATTTTATGTTTGTCTAGAATAAAATTTTGGTTTCAGTAAATATTTGATGTAATCATTCGGTTTTAACAAGAATATATATTCCCTGCCTGTTTAAATACACTATTCTCAGTGCCATCGCTATCATATTTGTCACTATTAGTCAAGAATTTCGATTTGTTAAAAAATACACTAAAGGATGTGCCTTAAGTTGGAAAATGTTTCACATCATGTCGCTAGTTTTTTAAATATTAAATAATTTAATTATTTTAAAATTATCAAATAACTTTTTTGCCACTTTGTTCCGCCCTTAGGTAATGCATAACTAAAATAAGCTATAGGTATGGTTGACTATTTATGTTATAAAATTAGTAGTGATGTTAAAAGTTACTTTTGAAACATAACTAGTTACAGTTACTAGTTACATTGGCAAAAACATAACTAGTTACAGTTACTAGTTACATTTTTACAAAAGTAACTAGTTATTAGTTAGTTATTTTCAAAAGTAACTAGTTACTTACTTTATACATCCTTCATATGCGCATTTATTTATTGAATGCATTTATTTAATATAAAAAAAATTAGGATAAACAAAGTGTAATCAGTTATTTAAAATAATATACAATTTATTTATATAAAAAAATATCGCAAAATTGAATATTTACATCGAATATAAAAATATATATTTGCATTGAAAAAAAAACATTTATTTTTCATAAAAATTAGAATCTAATAAATGTTTATTTGCTTTTAACAACAAATTAATTTCAAGGTTATTATCTAGGAGACGTGCTCGTTTATCTCCAAAAATGAGCTTACCTAGACTGAATAAGCGCTCTACGGGAGCACTTGATGTTAGAACAACATTATATTTAATAAAGAGTAATTTTAACTTTGGAAAATCGTTATATAAAGAAAAAGTGTTGTTATTAGATTTGATAAAGTTTTCTATAAGTTCATTATCCAGAACATTTTGGCGCTTTAGGTCAAAAAATCCAAATACATCAAGTGATGTTGGTTTTGAGCATGATTCATTCGTCTGGGATTCACTTTGAGGTATTAAGATATTTATTAAATTTAAAATTTCCTCCTTTTTTGCTTTATTCCTTTCTTGCCTAATCCAAGGCCAGTCAGTTTTAAATAAAGGGTAAAAATTGCAGCAACGATGTTGTCATTATCATAAAGATTATTAAACCTATAACATGATATTATTAATTTATAAATAATTATTTGATTTTAGTTACATTTTTTCAATACTAGCTAATATAGTATCCTTTAGAAGTTGACAATATTTTAATCCCTGCACATCTGCCATACATATAAGTATGTGTTATTGTTGGGAACAATCAGATATTCACAAAATTTTAAATTAATAAATTTAATTTAAAAAATAAATTTAATTTAAAATTAATTTATCACAACATATTAAAAATAAAATTAATTATTTGAATATATCTTTAAAAGTAACTAGTTACTTTTGGTAGTTACATTTCAAATATTTTAACTAGTTACAGTTACTAGTTACAATTTTAAAAATATAACTAGTTACAGTTACTAGTTACAATTTTAAAAATATAACTAGTTACAGTTATTTTTTAGCCAAAATGTAAAAGTAACTAGTTACCTTAACATCACTAATAATTAGAATGTTTTATAACCCATTAGTAACAAGCGTTGCACATATGCAAAGTATTTATATTTATATCATATCTCAAGTAATTTATAAAAAAAATTATGGTATAATACAAATAGGGATTCATAAATATTCAATATCAAATCTTGATATTAATTAGTTTTTGAGATATAACTATTTATTATAAAAAATCCTCAGATGTCAATAAATTATTTTAATTTAACGGTATAAATTGCAAGAGGCAAATTTCTTCGACCCAAACAGACACTAAGGAAGTAAAACATTTTCACGACTCAACTAGACCGAAATTTTTTTTTCGAAATGATTCCCGAACCTACACAATCCGACTATAAAATTAATTACTAAATCAAAATATTAAAAAATTTACTAAAATTAATTTATTTATTAGTACTTTATAAGAAATAATTTAAAAATGAACAAAATTAAATACTATACAATCGCTTTATTGATATCACCGATTGAATTCAAAATAAAAACAAAAATATTTTCAAATCAGACCTCACCCTAAAAATAAAAATTTCCAGACCCGACCCAAAATAAAAATTTAACAAGGGGTTGGGTTTTGCTGACCTCTAGTAAAAATTAAATTAAAATATAAAAACAATATTTTTTTAATCTTTATTAAATATTCTCAAATTTTAATTAAAAAATCAAATAAAATTTGCTAATCTTATATCATATAGTCATTTTTAGATACATAGTTTTTTTAAAGTTTATTTTTTGCTAAATATGATGGAAATTGATGGTAATGAGTAAAAATTGACACTTAAATTAATATTTTAACGCCTGCCTATATACCATGGTATTATTTAAAAGATTAAAAAAATAGGATTTTTTTTATTTAAAACGGATGTTTTAAATTTAATTATATTTTATATGGTTCATATAAAAAATTTGAAAATTTTATAACTGGAAAATGGCGTCCATATACTTAAAAATAGAAAATGTGATATAAGCAAATATTGAAATTAATTGATAATCGATCGTCTTGTATTGATTAATATAACTAGAATCCTATATTTGTTTCAGGTTTCTTTCTTGGGCATTCACAGCCAATACCTTTCCATATAATTATACTTTTATTTAATAATGCATGGGTGGCTTTTACCTATCTTTTTATTTCCCATGTGACTCTTACAGGGCACAGGTAACTTCAGCCTGCCTAAAAACTGTGAATGGGCTTCTCTCTTAGTTTAACCCCAATTTCTTAATCCAATTAGATGGGATTTGAGAGATTCCAAGCATAGCTCTGTTATTTCATATGGTGAAAAAGATGGATTGCGCTTACTATAACGTATATTTTATATGATCGAAGCTTTAAACGTAGGCGATTCTTATACTGCCGTATTTATGTGATTTCGTTATTCATATTAAAGAGGAATACTATCATATATTTTATTAATAGATTTTAAAAAAGTAATTAAATATTTTACAAATCGTCGCCATCAGATGAAATCAAAACGATCAAAATAGTAATGTTAGACAATTTAATAATTGAGAAAAAAACTACAAGGCCACAAGAAAAGAGTTACTGGACAAGATGACTCAAATATTCCGGATTTAACTAATCGGGAAGAGACAAGTTTGGAACAGGAAAATACCGGAATAATAATCGATTATAGACCTAGAAATGTGCGAATACAATAGAGGAAGAAAAGATTACCGTATTGAAAGGTATATGTAATGATTTGAATAATGCTAAATTAAATAATAAATTTGAATAAAAAATATATTTAAAAATAATTATAATTGTATAAAATTGGATAAAAATTCGTATATTTATTTTTGTAGTGGTTAAAAAAAACTACACTTTTATGGATTATCATTTTATCAAAAAGCAGAATTTGTTAATAATCTAGCCCCATAATTTTTTTGCCTGGTCCGGTCCAAATAAAATTTTCAGACGTTACCAATAGGCTTAATAACAGGTCGGGCAATGCACATTTCTAGTCCAAATTCCGTTTCATAAAATGCAAGTTTTTATATTTTAAATTAGTATAAATATTATATATATATATAAAATTCCGGCAATGTGAGGTAGTGGTAGGCAATGTAAATGTGAGATTTCGGCAATGTGTTATTTTTGTAATATTATATTATTAATAATTTTGTTTTTATTATTAATAATTTTTTTAAGATTGAAATTTTATTTGATAATTTATATTATTTTTTAGATATAATAATATGTTTTTTAAATATATTATTTGATTGATATTTTTTTTTAAATATATTGAAATATATTATAATATATTTTAATTTGTTATATTAATTTTTTATATATATTTTGATTGATATTTTTTATTATAATGGTTTTTTATGTTTTTATTATAATGGTTTTTTATGTATTTATTTTTCAGGTAAATTTTTTCTTGATATATTTTTTGACTAAATATTTTTTTTATTTTTTGTGTTATATTATTTTTTTAAATATATTTTTTGATTGATATTTTTTTTAAAATAATTTTAAATAATATATTTTAATTTGTTATATTATTTTTTTATATATTTTTTATATATTTTTTGATTGATATTTTTTATTATAATGGTTTTTTATGTTTTTATTATAATGGTTTTTTATGTATTTATTTTTCAGGTAAATTTTTTCTTGATATATTTTTTGACTAAATATTTTTTTTATTTTTTGTGTTACATTATTTTTTTAAATATATTTTTTGATTGATATTTTTTTTAAAATAATTTTAAATAATATATTTTAATTTGTTATATTATTTTTTTATATATTTTTTGATTGATATTTTTTAATATAATGGTTTTTTATGTATTTATTTTTCACGTAAATTTTTTCTTGATATATTTTTTGATATCTAAATTTTTTTTTATTTTTTGTGTTTTTTTTTTTTTTTTTGAGAAGGAAAAAATTTAATTTGTAACAAAATGCTCAAATGTTAATATTGAAATATCGCATAATATTTTGAATAACATTAAATTAAAAATATATATATATATAAAATCTAATGATATATAAAAAAGAAATATAGTACATACTCGGAAAAAAAAATATATATATATATTAAAACATAACTGTTTAATTATAACGAAAAAATATTTTTTTTTGTGGTTAAAATCTAAATATAGTTGCGATGCAAAATATATATAAAATTAACAATG